TTTTTTTTTCTTTAATCTATAATTGCACTTAAAGCTAGCTTATCAACAAAAAACACCTGTATTGATCATTGAAGAGTACAAACAATTAAAGTCTAAGATTAAAATTTGCTGCATGTCTTACAACTTTTTTAGCTAAGATCGAAACAAATCACTCTGCTTTTTTTCCGTGGAGTGGGGGGAGGAGAGATATTTGCACTCTATGTGAAAAAACTTCTGATTACATTGTTATTCCCTCTAAACTAACGCTATATAAGACGCTTATAGCAAACTTTTATCCTTCTTTATTTTTTAAAACCAATTTTAAAACTTATTTCAACACTTTATGAAAAAGTCATCGAAAAATCTACTAATCAAAAGCATTTATAAGCTTTTAAAATCAACACTAATTGCTTCAGAAGAAGATATTGATAAGTAACGGCTAAGAAACGCTGCTTTAATAGCTCTTCTTTGACTTCAATTATTTTTTGCTCCCTAAAACCTTGGTTGAAAAAAATTGCCAACCTTAAAGCATTGCGCAAAAAAAGTACAGCAAAACGATCAAACTACAGAAAACTTAAGCCAATTTTAAAGTTTGAAAAGCTTTTTGAACAATTTTGACTTGCTATAAATATGAAATCGAAAATAAAAAGAGATAAAGTGACGTCATTTTCTACGACTTTGAGAGAATAATCATGAAATACTCACCATCATTAACTCCAAGTCGCATCACAAATTACAGATTCTGTGCGTACTTACGTGACTTTGTGGTAACACACAGCAACCAGGCCCGGAATATAGCTAAATTTGCTTAAATTATGTTTTTTATAACTTTGAATAATTTATAATTTTACACAGCAACAAAAAAGTGACAGTTATACAGCTTCAAAAATTTAAACTTTTTAGATACCTGTTACTCAAACAAACTCCCAGAATTTCTGAAGTTACTCGAAAACAAGCTTTATCAAACCTGACAAAACAAGTCGGCTTTTAATACAGAACGATGATAAACCTTCAACGTAAAATTATTTTCAAAAATTTAGCTGCTGCTTAAATATGTCCAAATTCATAGAGAATTTTGTCACTACGATTATTTCTTATTTGGTTTACCGTTTGTTTCGCTTTTGATATCTTATAAGCAACAGAAAAATGTTTGCAAATAATTAAGATAAAAAAAATTAGACAACAAAAAAGTTAACTTTATTCACTGCTTTGCCCAACAAAATAATAATGCAGACTTTAAATAGCAAAAATAAAACAGCTGCAGAAGTAAAGCATTAAAAAAAAAGCCTCAAATAATGGCAGTATTTTTTGTAGTCTGTAAATGTATACAACAATTTTTTTATAAACATCTGTTTTCTGAAACAGCAAACACAAATAGTTACTGCAAAATAAAAAAGGGATGAACATAATGGTGGAAAAACAAAGATGACATAGTCGACAACCACGTGGTTGCAGGTGATAATAATAGCAGCTAAGAACTAGAA